ACAATATCCTCTTTGTGAATCAAATCCTCATCTTCATAGTTGCAGGTGGAGCAAGACGCCCCTTTCCACTATGCTATCCATCCCTTATCAATCTTGGCACTATTTCCAGTCCCCTTTGCTTTTCTCTTTCCTTTGTCTTCAACACTCATCTCTCTATTTTCCTAATTTTCATATTAGGCAAAACTTTCTTGATGGAAAAGGAATTTTTCAACGACCAACTAAGAGACTAAAGAAAACGATCTCACATATACTGCATTAGGAAAGACACAGAAGTGTATCTGCTACCAAGATAGAAAGAAGACATGTATAAGTTGAATAGGTGCTTTAAAATAATAATGGAGGAAAATATATTAAACAAATCAACAACTCCTCAGTTCAACAAAGGATGAAGAGTATCCACATTAAAAAAATCAACTTTTGGTGAGTCCAATCAGAGGGTTGTTGTCCATCAACTAGAAAGACATATTGATTCAATACTTCACCTAAGTACTTTGAGGGAGTAGCAGCTACATGCCTCCTAATACAGCCTCATATAGAGTTGGCACAACCAGATAATCAATTTTGTTTGTGTCTGTTACTTTTTGTAATGTTTTGATAATGATTTGTGATAATAGTAGAAGTTATACAATTTTCTTTGGGCGAGAAAAGATGAAAATGTGAGGGAGATGGTGAAAAAGAAAATAAAAAAACAATAAAACATAGTGAAAAATGAAGAGATACTAGTGTCAACTATAAAAGTGACAAGGACAACAAGAAGATTAAACCAGCTGTTAGCTTTTATTGGAGATGAAAGGGACTCTAGTATATAGAGAGATGGAGCAGGGAAATGACAAGAAACAATAGTTTAAAGGATTACAGTACAAGAATCTTTCAACAGAAAGCAAACTGTCAAGAACAAGTTAAGCGGAAAATGAACAAACCTGTGCCATAAACCGAGGGAGCATGATCCTCAGTATCTGATCTAGGACCTGAGAACCAGTTGACTCAATTGCCTGCACTGGAATTGCTCGAAATGCAACGGGAATCTCAATGTTAACCTGCATAAATAATCAATCAAAACTGATGCAAACTAACTAAAATTGTAATGTTTTCACTTTTATTGCAATACGGACAAACTCAGATAGTACCTCAATAATAGCATCTGAAGTGAGCTGCTGCAAAGGTGAGTCTCTTAGCTTGCTATCATAAGATATTTTGTTCACCATAGAAGCTGCATGCCCATACTAAATCAGTGTCAAAGTACTCCTGAAAAGAATTATGTAATAAAATTCAGAATTGACACACACTAACTGAGCAATTTTTATTGCAGATGACAGCTTGTCTGTCACACCAAGTTCTTTACCAAACAAAGAAGAGACCAGTTTACCTCAAGGTACACCATCAAAAACCATTAAACTAAAAACAATCACATGCTGACTTCAATTATGTTGCATGATTACGCCAATTATCTATTATCTTTACAATGTTCACAACAGAAACCTCTTACTAACAGCTTATCAACACAGATTATAATACAACTAGTGGAAGTATATGCAACATGCTAGAGCCGTGTTTTCACCGAACATGACTTGAACTAATAGGGACATCAAGTTTTACTCCCCAAGTCAATGCAGAAGCAATTATTCGGTAATCCACCATATGCTGTAAAGTACCAACTTTTGAGGAGATGACAAATGTAACTCTTTTTTTTTTAAGTATTACAGGAAGAAAGGTAGTTAATGGTGCATCAAACTGACAGACAGCACTGAAGCATTCATCCTCTCAATAGGACTTTTTTCTCTTTTCACAAGCAGAGCAAGAGTAGGATACATAGCAGTTCTCAAGAGATCATGAACCTCTAGTGCCTTTTTCATGGATATATTATTATATTAAAAGAGAAAACACATACTCTAATTTTATCTCTACTGTTTTACAAATGCTATGTCAGGAAAAAAAAAGAGATTGATTGGATTTAAGTAGACATTGATGAATAGTTAATAGGACTACGAAAATCTTGCTATGGGCATCTCTTCACCAACATTTTATGTCTTTGCAAAATGTGATCCCACTTTTGACTCCCAAACAATTTACAACCAAATGCGAAAATACAACAGACACTAAGAAGAATTTGTTCGCAGAAAGAAATACAGAAATATCCAAATCAAAGTGAGTCCAGCATCAAGTTGCATCCAAAAAAGGTAATCTGGTTTTAAACACATTTTTTCACCTTTAGGGGCCAATACTACACAAATAGATCCAATTGCAGCATGACTGAACCAGTGCATAAAAATAAAAGTTTTGAATTCAACGTACCATTTTTAAAGAGAATTGTGCACAAACATTCAAAATGATAGAAACGGCACTTAAAAAGACTACATACCATCAAATTTATCATTTTGAGCGACCACAATAGGAGATCCCTCAAGCTGAGAATCAAATAAATAGAAACAACAACATGATTAGATACAACTATAAATTACTAGAAATATTAAACAGCTGGAAAATCAGCAGTAATAAGTAATAAGAAAAAGCAATATACTACCTTGCAAGACAACAACTTGATACAACATCCATCAGGCTGCTCCTCAACTCTAACTAACAAAACAGGACATACTTCAAATGCAAAGAACTTGAACCTATACACGTAACACCTGAACGTACTATCGTCCACTCGTTCAATCCTCTCTGCATCCAACACTGAGTACTGGCTCGCCGGCAAGCTCATATACTCCACTAAATTAACCAAAAAAAAATGAAATTCTCCATAAATAATAACACTACCACCATTCACTGCTTCAAGTAATCAATCAACATGGATAACACTTTGTGAAGTTAGTTAAGTACACTTGTTTTTCCCCCTTATCTCCAAAACCAGTTACTAGCTTACTCAACAAATAAAACCACTATTACAGTCACTGCATCAAACAGTCAACCAACCTAGCTTATACCTCTCCGTCAAGCTCAAATACTCAACTAAGTCAACCTAAAAAATAATTAAAACTAGTAAAACTCAACAAATAGACACACTATCACCAGTCGGTGCTTCAAAAATCGAACAACTTGGATTATATCTCACCAGGAAGCTTAAACACTCAACTAAATCAACAAAAAGTAATCAAAAATCGAAAAAACTCCCAGATATAAAAACAATATCAACTGTCACTGCTTCAAAATTCAAATAATCAATCGATTCGTATTATGCACTAGCAATCAAGCTCAAATATTCAACTAAATCAATCAAAAATAGTTTTAAAAAAATAGTAAAACTCAACAAATAATAACAAAATCAACAGTCACTACTCCAATCAATCAATCAACTAGGATTGTACCTCGCCAACAAGCTCAAATACTTAACAAAATCAACAAAATAGCGAAATGAAAACAATATCAACAGTAGCTGCTTCAAATAATCAATCAACTTAGATTACATCTCGTCCGCAAACTCAAATACTTAACTAAATTAACCGAAACACTGCTTCAAACAATCAATCAACTTGGATTATACCTCGCCAACAAGCTCAAATACCTAACTAAATCAACAAACATAGCGAAATCAAAACAATATCAACAGTAGCTGCTTCAAACAATCAAGCAACTTAGATTATATCTCGTCCGCAAACTCAAATACTCAACTAAATCAACCAAAACACTGCTTCAAACAATCAATCAACTTGGATAATACCCCGCCAGCAAGCTCAAATACTTAGCTAAATCAACAAAAATAGCGAAATAAAAACAATATCAACAGTAGCTGCTTCAAATAATCAATCAACAAGGCTTATACTAAATGAAATTAGAGTTGAAGTGCTTACTTAGCGGACGTTGAAGCTGCTTAACGGATAATGACTCTTTCCGGCGGCCAATAAATCGAGCTTTTGGAGCAGAATCAGCTGTAATACGGAGAGTAGTACATTTGGAAGAATCAACAGAGGATAACGTAGTAGAAAACCTAGGGTTTTTGTATTGGAAAGAAATGTAGCTTAGATTCGTTAGCGAAGAAGAAGCTGAGCTCAACGCCATGGAAAATATTTTAGATTTGGTTTGGTTTCGATTTTTTTTTCTTTGTTTAAATGGTTGTTGAAATGTGTGAGGTTGAGGATAAAGTTCACGAGTGTGGTGAGGATTACAATATGTCACCCAAAATAAAATTTAAAAAAGCGTATTTTAGCTAAAGATACAAAAGCGCACTTTAGCCTACTAATTCACCCTCCGTTCCCTTTTTTGAAAAATAACTAAACAATCAAATCATATAAAATTTTCATCATATCAATATGAGAATAATTCCAACGCACATACTAAAAGTAATTCTCATCTTGTTACAACAAGGTTACATATCATTTCGTCCAACGCACATAATAAGAGTAATTGTTGGACATAGTAACAATAATTCTCATCTTGTTCAAGTTTACATATCATTTCGTCCAACGCACATACAAAGAGTAATTGTTGGACATACTAAAGAGTAATTCTCATCTTGTTATAACAAGGTTACATATCATTTCGTTAGGTATTTTAATAAAACATATAATTTCATTACTTCTGTTACGGATATAAATACGAATAAAAATGTAAATAGTGGATCGCTACGACTTATGCCGAAAATAATGTTAAATTAGGTCTTTGTACAAAAAATATTGTTCCAAATAATAACATATTAATTGAATGAAAAAATTAGTAGGGGTATTATTAAAATAGTAATATCATTGGAAATATCGACGGCGCATTTTAGCATCGTAATCGTAAGCACCCCGCCAACAGGAAATATCTACGCAACTTTAGGTACCAAAAAATGTGTGCTGATTTTGGACTTTTAGCACCACGTGACGCACTTAAACTTCACCCACTACCTAACCCGACGCTGAATATCTTTCAAACACGCTAAATTACACCGTCAATTTCAACTTTATCAACAACAACAACTCAAAATCAATGAAGAGAACTGGAAATTTGCAGGCAAAATTGATGTAGAAATCTGGAAAATCACGCAAGGTCGATGTAGAAAACCGGAAAATCAGGCAAAATTGATGTTGAAAACTGGAAATTTTCATTCATGATTAGCAGTTCATTACAAAAGGATAAGCTAAGAGCAAGCTAATTGAACTAATTTTACATCCACAAAATACTAATTTCAAACTTTAACAGTAGTACACAGAACCTAAAAAATTTTAAGAGCTAGTGAATTTGGTAACAGCCTTAGTTCCTTCAGAAACAGCATGTTTAGCTAATTCACCAGGAAGAACAAGACGAACGGCAGTTTGAATTTCACGAGAAGTGATGGTAGGCTTTTTGTTGTAACGAGCAAGACGAGAGGATTCCTGTGCAAGTTTCTCGAAGATATCGTTGATGAAACTGTTCATTATACCCATAGCTTTGCTAGAAATACCGATATCTGGATGTACCTGCTTCAGCACCTTGAAGATGTAGATCTTGTAGGTTTCAACCGCCTTCTTAGATCTCTTCTTCTTTTTGTCTCCGGCAGCTGCACTGCTATCCTTTGGTAGCTTCTTACCGGCCTTTGGCTTCTTCTCTGCCGGAGATTTCTCCGCTAAGGGAGTTTTTTCAGCTGCTGGCTTCTTCTCGGCGGGCTTTTTCTCAGCTTTTGGTGCCATTGTAAGGAAGAAGAAAGGGGAACTTTACAGATGCTTTGAATGGAATTTGGGATGATGTGTGGAGAGAATATGACGGGGAGTTTGGTTTATATAGTGGTTTAGGCGGGAGTTATGATTGGTTGATACGGAGTGACGCGGATCGTGAAGGAGAGCCGTTGATCCTACGGTTAAATCAACGGTGGTGAGTAATAGTTTTGTGATCCGGGTCATTTTTCTTGTACTCTACCTAATATGCCCTCTGTTTCCTTTTATACTATTATCCAAAAGATTAATCTTATGAAACAACACTAATTAGTCATTAAAAAGATAGTATCAGTCGGTTTGGAGGGTGATTAGTCACATAAATAGTTTAGGATTAATTTTTTTAAATATTTTTTGAGTTAAGTCTGTCGTATAAGGTATGTTTTATTACGATTTACATTTTTTATGTAATTTGTAGCCAATTAATAAAAGTTTATTCAATGCGCATAAAGTGCTCACCTCAAAAACAGAAGTTAGAATGATTGTAAATTATCATAAGGTTCTCAAAAAGAAAATACTAACTAAACTAATCATGATTAATTCGAGCTAAATCTATATATTATTGATTTGTAAACTTACTAAAGAATTTTTATTCATATTCATAAGTAATAAAAAAAAAGAGTATAGGGAGTAATGGAGCTTATTATGTGCTTGGTTCATTGCTTATGATATGATAGGTCTTATGCTGATAAGTTTTTAGGATAAATTATCAAAAACTTACTAGATTTTAGTACGTTCTGATATAATATTTTGATATATATGTGATCGAAATTATATATCATTTGTTTTAAATACATTATAATCAAGTGAATTTGCATTTATCAATAATATAGATAAATCTTGCACTTGTCCCTCGCCTCCACCCCATCTCGCCAGTGTATTTGGTATGTCAAATACATATAAATCACACTACATATACGTATATAGTGTGTATCTAGCTTGATTAACATGTATCTCCGATACGTGGACAAATCTATATTGTCTCTGTGACCTTCCTTCCATCTCGCATGTCACTCGTATATCTCATTTGTGTATCTGGTATCTTATATACATACAAATTACACTAAATACATGTACATATATTGGGTATCTAGTATGAATCACATGTATCTGAGATGCATAAGACAAATTTTGCCCGCGTATGTCGCCTCCCCACCACCTCCCTTGTCACTCTCATATCTCAATCATGTATCTAATGTTCAAGATACATGTGAATCGTACATGATATATGTACGAAGTATGTACCTAATGTGGTTCATCTGTATCTGACTTAAAATTTGTTATGAAATTATTTAAAATGAGAAAAATACAATTTTTTTTAAATATAAATAAATGACATGTAGTAATAAAAAGGGGACTTGCCAATTGTTCTATTTTTATTTAAAGAAAATTAAAATGAATCGGTTATTTCCAGCAAAGCAACTAACGTTTACAAGGATATATATATATAAAAAGTTGATCGACAAAAACAGAAATAAGCAAAACTTCAAACAAAATATATCTAGACATTTTCACATAGTTTAAAAACATATTTAACTTTTTTTTTTTTCAATTGACTTATTTCAACTTGGCATAATCATTGAAGTGTAGTCTAGTGTTCACCATGTGCCAAGACAAAGTTTATATTATTCACCATGTGTTGGTGTGGTTAATAATAATAGTTAAGTTAAATGCTAATCATGTATAAACATGTTTGATTATATATCACCACATATCAACGTGAGTTTGTGAATAATTAAACACAAATAAATTGTCAATACAACAAACACTTGCAAACATAATTTAATAAAATTGAAGAATGAAAATATTATCGAATTATGAAAGGAAAAAAGTTAAAAAGGATCTTAAAGTAAATGAGAAATCATGACAAAAATGGTTCCTTTCGTTTAAAATATACATAAAAAATTGTGATCTTTTAGATTTATAGCAAAAGAAAAAATATTCGGATTTTTATCAAATATTATCAAATTTCATCAATTTTATTTAAAAGTAATCGTAACATTATTTTTTTTTAGTGAGAACTCACAATTAGAAGTATCTTTTCCATCAAATTTAACAAACATAAGTTGTTAAATATTTAAGGGATAATGCCCAAGTACCCCTTAACCTTCCGAAATCTCAGAGACACACTTATACTATACTAAGGTCCTATTACCCCCTGAACTTATTTTATTAATAATTTTTTACCCCTTTTCGACCTACGTGGCACTATTTTGTGGGCCCAACGATGGTTGATTTTTTTTTTCAAATTAGTGTCACGTAGGCTAAAAAGGGGTAGAAAATTACTTATAAAATAAGTTCAGGGCGGTAATAGGACCTTAGTATAGGATAAGTGTGTCTCTGATATTTCGGGCATAGGTTGAGGGGTACTTGTGCATTATCCCAATATTCAACAAAGAATACTATATTTTTTTTTAAAAAAAAAGATGTTTACGAAAAAAAACCAACAAAAAGAAAAACAAATAAGTTTCAAAGGGCTGATTATTGAATGGATTGGGGGGATATTTATACTCATCCGTTTGTTTTACTGGATATCGATGTTTAAATATATCAATCCGCTAGTTAATCAATAATCTAAGAGTTGATTCGATATCAAATTAGTAATTAACAAGTAATTATCGAACAGTGTATTGACTAAATCATTTCATGTTTCCTTTTTTCATTTCTCACTCACGAATAACATTAGTCTTCAATCAAACAATATAACTTTTTTCTTTAGCTCTACTTAATTTGGTAATTCTATAATCGTAAATCACAAATATACAAAAGTTAAATATTAAAATTGTATGGACATAATCATTCATAACAAATATGTTAAAGAACAATCGTAATAATTCTTAACGAGTTCACATTTTATATAATAAGAAAATCAAGTAATCCGCGTCCATACCAATAAATCAACATCAACAAGCTAATTAGTCAATTATGTAATTAATTAACTTATCGGTTACGGTTTGATTTTAAATTAAAAGATTGAAAAAGTTAAAAAATTAAATTTTTGTTATTTTTTTTTTTATATTACCACTTCCTTAGCATATGCTTCTTCCACTCTCTCTCCATTTTCTCTTAAATCTCCTCTTTTTGTTTCACACAGTAGATATTTTCTCTACATAAATCACAGTCTTCTTCTTCTTCTTCTTCACAAATTTGCTAATGTTTTGACTCCATTTCTCGTCTATTAATTCTCTCTAATTTATGGCTATGGAAGGAGCAGCTCAATCTGAGTACAATTCATCGACTGAAGGTGTACAGGAACACTCTTCTTCGCCTCGCAAATCTCAATCTCCTCCTCCTTCCACAGGTATATCTGTTTTTTACACTCTATTAGCTTTGGATCTACTATTTGTTGTTTGTTTGGTGATAAATTTTGTATTATGATAGGACCTAAAATGTGTGACCTAGTTGATGTAATTGGGTGGATAGGTTTGAATGCAAAAGTATTAGTGATTTATTGACATTTGTTGAAAATTAGTTGAGATGCACGAAAACTGAATCAGAAACAATAACAACAACTAGGTAGGCTAGATGAATCCCTTTAGTTTAAAGAGAAAAGGTGTGGCCTAATCGTCGATGAAGTCAATGTGAGTGGGTTGAGAATAATGATGTTTTAGGTTTGAGTGCAGAAGTAGTACTCTCTAAATGAGACAACCTTTGCCTTTTAGTTCGTCTCGTAAAGAATGTCACTTTACTATAAATAAAAACAATTTTATTTTTGGGTTGCAACTGTGTGAGCTTACAATGTGAGCAAGATACTATAGCTTTTTCCCCAAAAAGGAACAAACTTGAAAGGTGACGGATTATGTTAAATGAGAAAGAAATTAGAAGAAATGGGTAGATGTCATATTCAGTTGAAGTTAAGATAGAGGAAACACCTATTTGTGGTTGTGATTGTCTGAACTTACAATATGAACAAGTTTATTTAGTTATTTTGGAAAAAGAAACGAACTTGAAAGATGACTTTTTATGTTGATTGAGAAAGAAATTAGAAGCAAAATGTGCGAGGCAGCAGATTCAATCTAACCTGTAAGTTAAGATAGAGTAAACACCTATGTTTTGGTTGCAACTATCTGAACTTACAAAATGAGCAAGTTTATTTGGCGATTTTGGAAAAAGAAACGAACTTGAACTTGAAAGATGATGGTTTGTGTTGATTGAGAAAGAAATTAGAAGCAACGAGGATCAGATTTCTCAACCTCTTGTTTCTTTTATTTTGAGATAATCAGCTTCACCATGTTTCCAATGAAAGTACGCTGAATAATATCATTTAAAGGGTGGACTTCCGACCATTTGAACAAGCTCTCCACCCCCCTGGTGCGCAAAAAAAAAAGAGGAGAAAGATCATTTAGAATTTTAGGGAGTTAAATTAGAAAAGGGAACTAAGACTTGTATTCTCGAGTTCCTGTTTGTGAGGGAGACCCTTCTGAACGAGCTTGTATGTTTGCTATTTGTGGTCTGAAATCTGCGCTTGCAACCAGATGCCGTGGTGGTTCTTTGACTTCTGCTGTATGCTTGTTTGCTGTCTGGAGTCAAAAACAATTTTGGTTAGCCTAGTTATGGTATTTAACTTGACAAGCATTTCTTGGTATAATTGACTATTTTAGTTTCTATTGGAAGGAAGACTTAACTTCTATAAACTAATCATGATAAGTTTTTGGAAGGGCATAACCTCTCCCATGTCTTGAGATAAAGGATCATTTTTTTGGATCGAGCTTGTCGCTCCGAGCTTGCCTAGTGCAGGTTACCTCTCCGGTGTGGTTTGCGAGCTATTGCATAGGAGCATGGCTTTTACCTTGTGCGCCGCACCCAAAGGGTAGCGGTTGCGGATTTCCCTTGTAATAAAAAAAAGGATTATTTTTCTTTTTATTTCATTGTCACATTTAACCGCCAAAAAAACTGCAATCTTTGTCATATACTGCATCTCACTAAGCGTCATTGGATTTTGATTCTTATATGACACCTTTGCATTCTCACAATGTGCCACTGTTAATGTGGTTATTCTTATGGATTGGATGGGAAATTTTTGCTTTTGGAAGTACTGAATAAAAAAGGCTCTTAATCTCTAAACCCTGTGTTGAACCTAATTGTGTAGCAGAGCTGCATCTTTCAACCATTATCAACTACCTACATGTGAAAAAACAACTATGTTCTGATATGACAATGCTCCTTTGTGATACATTTCTTGCTACTCTTCCCCCTCTTTTTGTAAGTCGGACATAGTGTTGTTTTGCAAAAGGATGCAGTATGTATGAAAGCTACAAGTGGATCAACCTTGTAGCTTCGATAATATCATTCACTCTCTTTCATAAGTTTGCAGGAACCATGTCAAACAGTGAGTTGCCGTCATTCCTTATGGGCATTCCAACCTTACATCCATTCATAGCCAGAAGAAATGTCTTTAATAGACGGAGACTTTACCCATTAAAAGAATTATCTATCTGCTACATTGCTTTTCCTCGTAGTCAGAGACTTACTTATTACAAAATTAGTTCTTGCATATACTTTTACCCGATCCATTAAATGTTGTGTAATCCTTTTCTGGCAGTGTTCATTCCCTGCATTGTGATGATAGTATTGTTTAATGGGCTGTAATGAGCGCTCACCTATCTTATACGTTTTGTACATGACATGGGAATATATCTGTATTGCTGCTTTACGGAAGTGGAGAATATGTTTCAACTTTTCTTTCCCTTACTAGGGATTATGCCTATGAAGGTGTTTGTTATCATTATTCTGGCACTGTGTATACGGTTTCAATTTACTTATATGATTCCGGGATCAAATTTTTTCATCTTGTTTTCAGTAATTTGTCCAAAATATTTAATTGATTGCGCCACACTATCTCATTCCCTTCTTACTTCTTCACAGTGCTTATGTTTATCCTTTGTGTTTTTATATCTCCAGATCACGATGAAAACAAAATATCTATCAAGTTCCTTTTATCGAATGCTGAGGCTGGTTCAATTATTGGAAAGGGTGGCTCGACAATCAGTGACTTTCAGGCTCGTTCTGGGGCAAGAATTCAGTTGTCACGCAACAACGAATTTTTCCCTGGTACCATGGATAGGATTGTAATGGTATCTGGGCCGATTGATGATGTACTCAAGGCAGTTGATCTTGTTCTTAATAAGCTACTGGATGAGGTAATATCACGCTTTGAATCCCATTCTGTGTACTGTTATTGACAGATACCTTGAAAAAACTGTCTTTTCCAACTCAGAGTTATGTTGAAGATGGTGGTGATGTTGGCCCGCGATCAAAAGTTAGACTAGTTGTGCCCAACAGCTCTTGTGGTGGAATTATCGGGAAGGGAGGATCTGTGATAAAGTATGAATCTTTCCCTTTCCTCATTTTATGTCCTAAAAGCTCCCCCACCCACCAAATACTCATTTAAGATAACTAGCTCTTCTTCCAAGCAAAGTATTACTGATTCTAAGATGCCTGGTTTTGTACTGATAATGTTAACTAGTTTCTGTGATGTGATCAATCTGAATTTGCTGTTCTACAGATATGGAATGGCACAGTCTTGTGCTGGAATGAGTTAGCTGACTTTGCCTTTTCCATTTTCATTTTTAAGTTTCTGACTGGAGGTTTGATCAACTGCATGAGCTTTTGCATCCTAGTTTATTACCACTTCAAATCAAATTGTATATGCCATTAGGCTGGGTTCCTTGTCCCATTTGAATATTTGAACTCAATTCACTTTTAAACTTAAGTCTTCATGGTTGAAATCTCTGGGTTAATGCATTGGTACACAATCCCACACCAGGATGTCGTCAATGTGTAACATGTGAGCTGGTGGAAATAAATGCTTAGAGTTGTTTGTTATTTTATTGTGCTTATGGTTTTATTGTTCGGGGAGGTTCCTATTTACCACAGATATTCAAAACCTAGGTCTTCAAGGGTCCACAAGAACAGTTGGGATAATAACCATACAGTTCATCTGCAAATTGAGGGAATACAGTGATATCAAAGGTGACGAGCAACAAGAAGTGCTGAAATTATTGGAGTGTCAAGAGCAAATACAAATAAAGCATGAGTTTTATGGACAGGAAAGGGAAAGATAAAAAGCTATTTGTAGTTCAAGAATGATAGCTATAAACCATAATATAGACAGAAAAATTGAAAAAATTAGAGTATGGTATAAAAGGTGAAATATATATTGTTTAGTGTACCTCTATTCAAGGAAAAAACATAGTAATAAGGTTCGTGCCTTGGCGCTTTTGTCCTGCAAGGAAGCAATACTTTAGCGACGCAAAATGCACATCATATTTTGCTCTAGCTTTAGGGCTTAAGTGCATCTCAAATACCTCTTTGACAACACTGACTATCGTATAATGGAGTTGTAAGTTGCAACTATTGTGTGAAAGTTCATTTTGAACTTCATCTGCAATCAAAATTATATGAAGGAAACACATATTACTAAATTATCAAATACAATTTTAAATGCAGAACAAAAGTGGTTGACAAAATCATCAGATTAACATAGATGGTTTTCTTTTACAGGTCATTTATTGAAGACTCTCGGGCTGGCATAAAAATATTACCTCAGGATGAGAATTTTCCAGGACTGCATGATAGGATAGTAATAGTGATTGGAACTCTAGGGGAGCAGATGCGGGCTATTGAATTGATTCTATATAAGTTGGCTGAAGATGCTCATTATGTACAGAACATGAATGCTCCATTTCCTTATGCAGGTATTATTTTTAAATTTAATTAATTTGTAATACTTCCATTCAAGTAATAGATCAGGGGGAATATGATCTGCTCTCTGTCTTAATCACTGTGCTTGTGAAATTCTTTTGGTATTGATTCATACAGGACCTGAGGTAACTGAATGGATGAGTGGAGGGGATACATTACTTGTTTCTTGTCTTTCATACTTTCTGCAACATTTATGACCATATCTTTAGTAATGTTTTCCAAGCTATTAGGTGTTATATTTAGGAGATCACCGTAGAAGTTGATTCTGCCATCTTAAAGTTGTTTTTTAACGTCATATTCTGATTCCTAGTTCTACTTCTACTGCTTTCTATTTCTTAGCAGCATATCTTGGAATGAACTATGGACCACCCAATGGAGTAATTGGAGGGAGATATCCAAATAACAGATATCAGAACAAGATGGAGCCTAATTCTGTGAGGATGTCATCTTTATGCCCATTATGCTTTTGACTGGCTTTCAACCCCGTTTTGTTTGAGTTCAACTTATTCTTTGTATCGTCTTTGAAGCTGATAACGGCGTGCTTTTATCATGTTCCTAAATAAGATAATGCCTTTTTCTTTAGAACTGACGGATTTTGTTATCAGTTTTTTGACCTGCGCCTACTTTGGTGGTTTTGCAGGAAGATAGGAACAATTCTGTCACTATAGGTGTTGCTGATGAGCATATCGGTTTGGTGCTTGGCCGGAATGGAAGGAGTGTAATGGAGATAAGTCAGGTTAGTAAAGAAGTTGCATTCTTTTCCCTGCTTTGTATATGTTCTAAGGTGTCATTTGGTTTAAAAACAAGTTATGCAAGGATTGCAATACATGGATTAGTAGTGCAGAGATCATTTTTCATCGGACATTTTGTTCTTTATACTGAAAAGAGGATATATAGGATAAAACGATATACAGGATTAGCTATTCAAGATTCAAAATACAAACCAAACTCGCAATACAGAATACAAAACTTTATACCACGATTATTTCATCATATAACTCAAACCAAATGAGTCCAATTAAGTATCTTCTGTCTTTCCAGGTAAGTGGAGCTAGAATAAAGATATCGGATAGGGGTGATTTCATGTCCGGCACTTCTGACAGGTAAGATTTCCTGGATTTCTTTGTTCCATTTGTCTTGAGGATATCATTACGTTGCTCAGACTCTTCAGTAATATTGCTGGATGTGTGTTTAATCCTTCAAAAGTAGTCATTTTTGGAAAAGTCCGAGCAACATAGGACTATAAAGATAAATAATTTCTGGACTTTTACAGGAAGGTTACCATTACCGGATCTCAAAGAGCTATCAGCATAGCCGAGTCCATGATATCTAAGAAAGTAGCAACAGTTACTGAGAGGTGAGTGATATCTGATGGATTTTGATTTCTTAATTTTTCATTTATAGTCTTCGTAACGTATCATCTGAAATTTCATATTCATATGTTGATTGATTTTGGAACTATTTCGATACTTCTGTAGTTGATAAGTTTGTGAAATGCTGGCCAGAAGAGAAGTTTAAAGTAAAAGAGAAACAGTGGATGAATTTTGTTGAGTCTTTGATCATTTGAAGCAGAAATTTGAGGCAATAGAACTATTGCAATTGATTCAGTTGACTTAATATATGGTCATTTTATACAGTTGTAATTTTTAAGTAGTTAAAATATTAAACTTAGAATTGTGATTTTTATTGGATATTGACATTATTTTTGTTCCTTTATCATGTCTTGTAGAATATAAATGGTCATTTTCATCAGTATGAGCAAAAAATATGGTATAAAAACATGCAAAAATAATATATTTACATGTAGATATAAAGATAAGACATGAAAAATTCATACATTCTTCCATGCAAAGTTTCACAAAACCACATAATAAGTTATTTATTTCATAAACTTCCTAATTTGCTCAAGCAAATCATCTCATATACTTCAAGGTTCATCCCCTCTATAGCCTCCATTTCCTCCTCCATATCCTGATCCATAGCCGGAGCCGCTACCATATCCCGAACCACCTCCGCCACCTCCACCACCTCCTCCTCCACCGCCGCCACCACCACCACCACTTCCATAACCAGAACCACTTCCACTTCCATAACCCGAACCATTTCCTGAACCACCACCACCTCCGCCACCACCGCCACCTCCACCACCACCACCACCTCCGCCACCACCGCCACCTCCACCACCACCCCTACCTATTCCTCTACCTGATCCATATCCTGACCCTGATCCTGATCCTGAGCCATATCCAGAGTCACTACCTCTTCCTGAGTTACCGCCACCTCCACCACCTCCACCACCACCGCCTCCACTACTCCCGAACACATCATTACCTTCACCATACCCATAGCCTTCCCCTGAGCCATACCCTGACCCCACCCCCAATGCTGAGCCTCCACCACCACCACCACCACCTCCGCCGCCTCCTCCTCTACCATAAAATCTTGCACCAAAAGCAAGATCCACAAAGAGCAATACCAATAATATTGCAACTCCAATAAGTTTGGAATGCACCATTATATTAACTCTAAACTTCCAAAATGCAAGATTTGAATATTATACATCAACTACAATAGTACTAAACAAGTACTTGTGTTTATGAAAATATTTGTAAGGATGTGTCACTTGCCAAGAAAATTAATATTATTGGTGTGAATGACATAGATCAAGGTTAGTGTTGCTATTTATAGGCCCTCAAAATCCAACTTTTATAAGTTGCATGGTTTCTAGTAGCCTCTTAAAAGAGTAATATTTTAATGGAAGAGGAAATTAAATATGAACATGTTGATTGGAGTTAGTGGTGTTGGTAGTGTATGTGGAAATATTTTATAATAAAGTATATAAAAACTTATCATGATGAGGTTGTAAGTGGTGGCCCTTCATCTAGCTTCATGCAAAATTATATTAAGAATTTAACTTACACATATCCAAGACAAATTTGAGATTTTAAGTTTTACATATTTTGAATTTTATGATAAAATAATAAATAAATTCGAGATAAATTGTTTATACATATAAAGCTAGTGATTCTGTCAAATCTATAACTTGTGATGAAAATATGTTTCTAAATTCGATTTTCTTCATACAAAATCGATAAATTTAACATGTGCATCATGGTAAGTTAATTAGCATTTTTATCAACTAATTAATGCTTATCAAGATATGTACTAAATAAGCAAAGACCTAATTTATGTAAATATCTTTTACACAGTTAATACATAATACTAAAACTAGATGAATTTCCACTGTCATTTTATGTTCTCACTTACTACAAATTAGAGTGACTAACATATGTGTTAGGTGTACATATTCCATCACATAGTATAATTTAATTAATTAATTAATAATTTTTTGAGTTTTGTATATAGTAATAATATAAATCTCTGATTAAGAGAGGAATCAAAAGGTTTTCGACATATATCAACTTTTGATTGGATATTGGCATAATAGACCCATGCAATTTATGGGGACTCTTTATAAGGCACCAATGAATACCATCCATTAAAATAATGCACTAACTAACCTAATTCTTTATTTCTTATTCGGTATTTGATATTTATATTAAATCTTTAATTAATTAATTTAGATGCATATCACATAATTCATCAAAAGGCAAAAGGCAAAATGTCCTCTATCGAGATACTTTTGATACATGAAATTCGAATTCGAAATCTTTTATAAAAATTAAAGAAAATCCTATTCATTTTACCATTACCATGACCCTTAATTTATAGAACCTATCAAGATCAGTAAGTTGTTTTACTTAATATGTGGTAGAGTATTAGCCCTTTTGATGATAAATAGTGCTTCAAAGTGCAATATGAAAAGGAAAGGAATATATATATAAATAAATTTGTTTGTATACCAAGAAAGTGTCATTCAAAGAAATTAATAAAGTAAGAATTTTTAATAAGAAAATTTAAAAGGTAAAATAAATAAGTAAACAGACGAATAAATTAATATACATATATATTTTTTTCAAAATTATTTACAGTATAATTTTTCGATAAAAGGAGTGTTATTAATCTACCAATTGAGCCATTTGGTTGGTTATGGACATAGACATGCAATTTTTTTTTTTTTGCAATTCCAAAGAACCAATGAAAACCACAAATTAAAATAGGCACTTTACAACAAAATGTGCACATAGTGGGGAAAAAAATGTAAGTTTCTTCTCTTTATCTTTGAATGACAAATGTCATGTTTTTCTTTGCTTTGCTTTGGTGGCCATATATGCATAGAAACCACACTTTACTTTCACTTTGAAAACTCAAACTTTGCTTTCTCTTTGAAAAACTTAATCATAACACATTTGACATAAAATTCAACTATCCATAGTCTTTGTAGTGAGTGCTCTTCCCTTTTTTTATTCACTTTAAAATACCATGCTATTCGAATCATCTTACGCGGAGTAAAATAAAAATAGAACTTTAGATACGAAAATTTAATCAGAATTTAAACGTGTTATGCATCCTTGCCCCTACCTCGTAAAATGTAGAGAGGTTGTTTCGATAAAACATAATAACAAGTAAACAACATGAGACAGATCAGCCAAAAAGAGAATGGCATTACATAAAATCATCACAGTAATTAATTGTTGTGTAAAATGAGTTTTGCAGCATCCAAGCTGCACTGTGATACATCATTGAATTTTAAAATTTGTTCAGGAGTCAGAAACTGCATCAACTCACTTGAATGTCTAAGACACTAAATATTCCTGGTATAGGTTGTGTATCATATATAATAATGTTCACTTCAGTCAGAGATCAAGATATCCTGCCATGACTTTCAAAAGTAAAAATTGAGCTCTCTAGATTCTTGAGGCCTTACGCAGCACGAATGAAGGTCCCGATTTTGAAGGTTGTGGAAAGAAGGAGGACCCAAAGGAACAGATAATAGAACCAGCACCAGGACACTGTCGAAATTGTCTTCCCAGGGAGAAAACTAGCTTCTGATTCCAAGTGAGCGGAGCTATCACCATGCTGTGATAAGCCTAAAGATAGGATAACGTTGTAATTCCCATGCTTGCCCACCAACCCGTCCATCCCATTGCTGCTCACAGTCATGTTTGTTATTCGAATAAATCCAGTGACGTGGATTGAACTGGATGCTTCTGAGGAAGAATTCATACGGAGAGCTGCATTTTTTGAAGGGAACTCCGAAGCAAATGCAGGAGGAGCAGGAATACCGCCCAACATACAGCTTGTCTGCTTCATAAATGGATACTTGTAATCTGCACCCATTGAAAAATACGTTAAATAAGTTAAAAGATGTTTATCTTAAGAAACACGATTGTTGGTTTAACTGAAATTGGTGTTGAGCAAATCTTTAGCAGAGAGTCCAAAAAGAACCCTTATCATTACCTGATCCAAATTTAGATGGTTCCAGTTTCGAGGATGATGCAACATTCTTCTTTTGATCATCAGGCTCTTCACTTGGTGCAATAGGTTGGTCATTTACCTCGGCAATATTCTGTCATGAAAGTAATTAGCTAAGATTCAAGAAGACCAGAAAATAACAAATACAAGAAGTGGAGTCGGTAAGTAATGTTACCTTCTCCTCCACAGATGCTAAGTCAGACACATGATCATCATCTCCGGTCATCATTGGTGGATTGAAACCCATACTTTGGAAGTTATCGTCTGCATCAAAGAATGCAAGGTAATCCTCAAGCATGTCAAAACCTGACGTATCAACCTCAATGGGTCTTGAAAGATCACTAGCTTCAAGGAATGCTCCATCACTGAATTGAAGGTTATCAGTTGCAGTTATAACTGGTTCATCAAGCAAGTAATCCACATCTTCAGTGCTCATACTATTGCTTGGTTCACTCATGAATTCATGCTTGACAGGATTTGTATCTGCATTGATCTGTTGAATTGCAGGATCAAATGATTCCTGCTCATCCGGTTGCTGAAGCCAGTTTTGTGCTTCTTCAAAGGAGTTACTTGTTTCCCCACTGTTGCTAGCATTTCCCTCACTATAGCAGTTCAACGGATGTGGAGCACCATCCACAGGTGAGTCAGCCCCAAGAATCTGGTGCAGAAGATAAATGCACCAAAATGAGAAGATACATTTCACCATTATCCAAAATAGACAACAAATTTATCTAAATATAAACAGGGAACGGGCTGCTAGTGTTGTTTTCGTTTATTTTGAGGTAGAGACAGGATGACTCAAGATATAGAATCCAAAAGCTTCATCAACTCAGACTATGCAGAGATAAAGATAATGAGAAATATCCTTTTTTACTCAGGCTGGTGTCAAAGACACCATAAACCAAATCCCTAAGCAAATGTATAAGTTGATTCCACTAAGTGACTAATGACTAGCACTCTATTAAAATCAGATTGGATACTACTAACAGCTGTCCCTTCAAAACCTTTATCCACTGAATTTCGGATCTTGTGTCACTGTCTCTTGGGAATTTCTCGGTTAAAAAAAGAAAAACCAGGCATCACGATGCTGTCAAGACACAGAAACATAGGAACGTTAACACTTCTTGCATTTTATTACATTTGAATGCTACATGTTTTGTTAGGCTTTGTGTGTATATATGTAGTTTTGGGGGGACACAGAGAGGAGGGTGTATTGGGGCAAGCAAGAAGAACCAGATTTTAGATGACCAAGGCATAACACAAATAGAGAAAAGTAAAATGTAAATCATCAATGGATATACCTCCTCAAGGTCATGTCCATCTAGATAGATATCATCTCCAAATTCAACTTCTTCAGCAGCCTCCTCCTTGGGAACAATTTCTAACTCATCATCCTCCCATTCCTCCTCAACAAAAGGAGCCCCATACTTTTCACCATTCTTTGGCCCTGCGCCACTCTTCTGGAAGACTCTACATAACACAAGTGCATCCTTTCCACCAAAAGGAGAGGAGAAGAAAATAAGTTAACGGGAAGAAATACATCTCAACATATAAAATAGCAAAAACATTCAGCATCAGCCGGCTTAAGAGAAGAAATACAAAGGAGAGAGGGAGGGGGGGGGGGGACAGTCAGCTCACCTGAACAATTCCAGCTTTTTGCAACTCCTCATCAATTAGTTTGTACTCATGCATGACCCAATTAGTCCTCTCACCTTTTGGGGCCCGACCACTATGAAAAACTAGAGTCTTCTTCATACCGACAACCTTAGACTTATGATGGACAGCTCTGTCCTTTCCAGTTGTCTTCCAGTAGCCTCGTTCTGTCGCCCGATTGGTTTTTGCTCCATTACCATGCTTCCTATCAAGCACACTGAAGAAGTACCATTCCAAATCTCTTGTTTTCAACCTCGACATACCTAAGACACGGATAAAATTATGCTAAGCTTCACCAATAAGAAAAAGCTTTTATACCAAGCTTACTCTACAGGACTCGTGACTATGTAAACACCAAATTCAGTAAAAGCTTAATCAGATGCTTTAATAAACAAAACCAAATGGGCTGCCAGGTTGTGATTTATAACTCCGACAGCGGAAACAAAGATAGGAAAGCTATTCTCTAACATGCCAAATCACAAAAGA